TTCAAATACAGAATGTAAAGGACCCTATGCCTCCCCAAACCACAAAATGAGTCCAGCTGTGGAAGAAGATGATCTTAAGAGGATGTTTAATCATCCAAGAATGTACACAGCCCTCCAGTATTGTTGCTCTTATTCTCTGATTAATTTGTGGTTTCTGTGTTTCAGGATCAAGAAAATACTGGTGTATAATCAATGAATATTAAGATGTCATAATTACAAAATAAACAAGAGAGTTTTGCAAAGAAGATAATGATAATGAAAACAGAACAGATAGAAAGCTTACCCCTTTCCTGGGCTCACTCACAAAACTCCAGCAGAGCAGACCTCCAGAAGAGCTTCTTCCCCCCCAGTAGCCAGCTCTTAAATAGGTCTAGGAGGGGTGGAGCTGGGCTCCCCCCATTCCAGCAGCACAGGAGAATTGCCTTCACCTGTGCTCCATGGCTGACTCAGTGCTCACCTCAGGTGATCAATCAGAGGTTCAGGCTGTGACTCAGCAGTTCCCATACAACTGGTGACATCGTAATCCTACAATATACATACTATTTATATTGTTCTTGTGAAAGATATTTTCTTACCAAGCTCTGTCACACTTGACTTTTTCCTACTGTGCCCATATTAATTAGGTCATGCTAGATGTATTTTCTCATAAGTAATTGTAATAAAAACTGACAGTAAGGGTTTCCAGATATGGTGTGGTTACTTACAGAACTAGAGTTTGCTTTCTTGCTGATCAAAGTACAGTCAGGAAGGTGAAAATTAGAATTTCACAGTGCTGGTATATGATGGAATTAGGTGGCTCAGTGAGAAATAGTCCAGTCTATCTGCCTCTGCCACTTTAATGCTGTGGCCTGCTACTAATGCAAGCGAAAAACAGAAGCTTACGGGTGTAAACTCATGCAGTGCAGAAGTTTGGATTCCTACAGAATAAGTTCTAAAAACTGAGTGTAGCAAGGGATTGAGGTTCCCAGAGTGAAATGAGGAACAGAAGGCCTCCTTGTAGCAGGCTTGCCACAAGGCAATGGCCAGAAGTCTTTGAGTCAAGTTTGTCAGTTTGCCAAGTCTTTCAGTTGGGCTGCTGCATTAACTCCTGTTACTTGCTGGCACATGCCAGCACTTTACAATGCTCGTCTTGTTTATCTAATCTAATGAGCGTATTTGAAACATGTTTGATTGATAACTATGTGGAATATGATGTCGACAGTTCAGAATTTTTATCAACCTGATTATTCTAGATGAGAATTAACTGACAATGTGAAAGCAACTGAGCGCAACCAGTCAGGTCCTTAATGGCTATTAACTACAACTAGTGTTGTGTCAGCAGCAACAGCTAATCCCATGAACTGATCATGCTGAAAAGGAGCTTTTCTGAGAACTTATTACTTGTACAAATAAAACCACGCCCCGTGCTTTGTGAGAGTGACATTCTTGAATACCTCCACAGGCTCAGTGAGGTCGGAAATCCAAAGCTGTGCCAACTGGGAAGACTCTTCCTTCTCCACTTTGAGATGCATGGAGGAGTGGAGTTTTTTCAATTCAATATAATAAATGTTTTAAATTTGAAATAAATATAAGGAAAGTGTCTTTTCAGTACCTAAAAATAGTCATAATGCAATGTAGGAGTACAAAGATGTAAGAAGTTTAAATACTGACGAGTCCTGTGTTGAGGACCTGTCAGTGAGAGCTATGCTTTTTGCTTTTGCAGGATTCGTATGCTGATCGATGAAGGCTACGAAGACAGAATTCTGATGGCTCATGATGTGCACACAAAGAATAGGTTGATGAAATACGGAGGTCACGGATATTCACATATCCTCAAAAACATTGTTCCTAAAATGCTGATTAGAGGCATATCCCAGGATAAAATTGATAAAATACTGATAGAAAATCCAAAGCGGTGGTTGACTTTTAAGTAAGAATAGTGAATTAATATCCCTGCCTTATAGGGAAGATTGGTGCAATTCAGATTGATTTAGGAGAGCAGCCATTTAAATACGTGCTTCTTTTCAGAGATCCAGAAGGTATTAGTGCTATGAACAACCTGATCATGTCTTCTTAATTAGACCACCAAAATTACTTATTTTCTCTGTATTTCCTCCCTTCTAAAAGTCCATTCATGAATGATTTGCTGGATATGCAAAATCTTTTCAGTGTATTAAAATAATTGTTACCAAAGAGTAATCTCATATTATTATTACATTCTCCAAAAATATTTTTGAAGAAGCATCATCTGAGCTTTGAAAGAAATTACAGTTTTCAATTAAATTCCCCTTCTCCAGGGTGTGATTTTAATTCGTGTAATATTGATAATCTGCTAATTATCCCTTTATTAAGCACTATTTAAATGATAGAAGGTCTGTCACTTTTAAATCACTTCCAAAGAGAACAGAGGGCAAAATTTCAAATAATTCTAAAAAGACGCTGCTTCTGTCTTGTTGAACAATGTACTGATTTCTAACTGAAACTGGCAGAAAAAATACATGACAAATACTATTTTTTAATAAAGCAATTTGTGGACTCCTGTATGTAGTCGTGTTATGGATTTCTTTTTTAATTTGTCATCTGGAATTCGTGGAATCTCCCAATGATCACATGTAAGTGCATACAGACCATCGGCTTTTTGTAAGGATGCAACACCAAAAGTCAAAATATATTACATAATATGGTTTTAATGAGTTGCAATAGTTATAACAAAGATTGTGATATAAGTCTTTACAAATCAGTATATCAAGATATGATGAAAAAGGAATAAATGTTTGCCTTATATGTGTTTTTCACATAAAGTGTGTTGTTTCCTCTTGTCTATCTTTCACCAAGCTATTTACCCAAAAAAAAGGTCTTACCTGGTAGTAATGGTAGCCTGATTTCAAAAGCTTCTTCAGATTTCACCTAATATGTCTTGTGGTGCTGAAGTTTGTCCCATAAATACCTCAGTAAATATGCATTGCTAGTTGCAAATGATTTCTAGCTTGTTACATTACTGCATGATACCACACAGACAACCTCCAGCTGCACTGCTGGCAGTGCGCTGAGTGATAAAAGCAATTTTGGATTGAACAGACAAGAAGTCAGCTACAGATCTGCCACTGCAATGCGTGACGTAGTAGTAGGAAACCAGGAGTGATCCCCGCCATGTACACACACAGCTCAGGAGTGATCCCTGCCACTACACACAGCTCAGTGCTGTGTTGTAGCCCGAAAGTGTAACCGATCTGATGAGACAATACACAAGCAGTCTGCAACTCACTGTCCCTCTGTAACACCTAGATGAATGAGGCCAGCCATCCTCTCTGCCTGGACCATCTCAGCCTATTTTTTGACAACTCAAACCAGGAACAGAACGAGAACTATGCTCTTTTTAAAAGCTTCACTCATTCAAACGAGGCTTTTTAGAGACATTCTTCAAATCTTCATCACCTTTACTGAGGACTCAGCACTGGTGAGCTCTTTGTCTCAGTGGCAGACACTTTGGGCGTCTTACTGCAGAGAAATCTGAGTTCATACCCTTAGCGGATTAGACAAGGTTGCTTATGGCAAATGGCATGACATGGAAATGCTAGGGATTGCCTCTATTACTCTTCAATGATTTTCACAAATTTTACCTTGAATTTGCCAAATTGCTAAGAATAACATAACCAGCTGTGCTAAGGAGCTAGTTAATAATCTCAGTAACGTTTTTAGATGGAAATTTGCAAGATTTAACTGAGAGAAATAGATAGCCTCCCGTCCCCCAAACAAAGCGAATAATAAGTTATTTTCAGAACAGAAGTATTCTGTGGCTATTCCTGGTATGACTGATTTTAAAGCATTTTTATAACTATGTAACTCATAGCATCTGTGCTTAGTTTAATTCTCCAAGCTATTAATCTTTTGTACGTATTAAACTTCTTTCTTTGAGACTTTAGATATATATATCTTTATATATATATATATATATGAATGAGAAAAATAGGTTTTAATACACACTCTCTTGCATGTAAGTATCTGCTTCTTTCTTTGCATATGTGTTTTCATTTTTGGTAATATACTTATCTGTGTCCATCTCAGGCACAGCTTACTACAAACTGATAGCTAAGTACCACGGAGAAGGCCTGCGTCCCAACATTTTCTCCTACATTTCATCTCCCACTCTTCCTTTGTGGGAACGATCCCACCAACTTCAGTGAGATGAGACACTGAAGACAATTAAGTGTTGGCCCATTCCTACAAAATCCTAGTTGAACACCTGCAGTATGTTAAGTCATCACTGTTTTATTAAAAATAGTAGCCAAGTACAGACTAAGTGCTAAAGGACTAATGAAGACTAGTTTCTGCAAAGAATACATGTGACCTGGATCTGAGGATGTGGACTCTAGGCCTAAATAGTTACACAACTAACCATCAGGAATGGGCCTGTAACATTGGCTAAATATATATTTACACATGTTTACAAACTAACAGCCAAATCCTCTTTCCACTAACATCAATGGGAGTTTTGCCATTGGCTTCAGTGTAATCAGGGATTTGGTCCAATATAATAGTTTGACAGCTGTTCAATTTTTCAGGAAAAAAAAGTGTTTTTTCTATCCCTCTTTTTCTTTTAGAATACAGCTAAGGGGAAGACAAAATTGAACAACTTGAGTGGTTGGATATTATATTAAAAGTCTAATGTAAACCTACAAAGCAGGAACATCGAGTTAAGGCTTGAAGCTGGTTAGTTTCTAGTTTTAAGTGGAAGGAGAAGAAAAGTACAAGGCAAACAATTCCTTTGGAGAGAGAAAGTGTATTTTGATTACCTCTTCCTTTTATTGTAAAATCATTCCTCACCACACTATGAGTGGACTCCAAGCATCATTGTTAGCAGGTAAGTCACAAGAACCAAAGCTGAAGTATGGATAAAGCGGCAAGATCATAGCACATCAAAGTATCATATACACTGAAGAAATAACTCAGCGTCTTTTTGTGTTTGTTTCCTATAAAAATCTGATCTATGTAAGACTTCATTCACATGGACACTAACAATGAGGAAGTATTTGCTTTGGCGGTAGTGGATCGCACATCTGTCTAGCTTGTTTTGTATTTTTTTAACGCAAAGTTTCTCTGTGTCGTACAGATGTGAACCAGGTAGCATTCGACATTCCCCCACTGGTGAGGTGTAGCGGTCAATCTCTGCTGGGGTGCTTGTTTCACTGACTTTTGCCACGCAAATCCATTGCTTAGAAGGACGAGCTTCATTGTCAGAGTGTTTCGGTGGGTCTTTTGACTCATTATCAGTCGGCGTAAATAATAAATCCAGAAAATGTGCTGTATTTGTTGTTGTTCCCTCCATGTGCTTTTCCTCCATCTAATTTAATGTAAACTTCATCTCCCGGCTCCAGGTGAAGAACCACGCTGTTACTGGCATAGTCGTAATTCTGGTCGGCATCCTGAGCAATGGCGCTAGCTCGAACCTACACGAAACACATAATCAGTGGTTAAGAAAACCCAGATAACCTCTCCTGCGTGCTGAGATTTAAAGCGTAGCCTCAACATTTTATTCAGCTTCTGTACGTTGCCACTTCACGTGTCTAAGAAGATACATTGCCTATTTTTCTTATGGGTACTGCTGATCTTCTCACACAAAACTCACACAAAATATCTGAAACTAAAGCAATGACCTGCTCATTCCTCAGCCACCCGGTGAGCACAGCACCACTTGCATTCCTGTAAACGTGTTGTGCCTTTGAAACCACGTATGTAGTAACAGCTGGAGTTGGGACAGCTGGCTCTGCTCATGTGCCAGCTTTACATTGGTGCAACTTTCATCTCAGTGGAACAAGTGATTGACATTGGCGAAGGTCTGCAGCGAGGCCCTGTGGATACCGAGCTGGAGTTGTTCCAGAGCCGATTTATTGCCGTACAGCTAATAGGATCACGCTGCAGAAAGGAGCGAGAAAGGCACACCCACACACTCACAGCACGCCCCAGCGCACACAGGCAGGTAAGGAACCAGGCAGGATTTGGAAGAGCTGTTAGTGCCACATTTCATTGAGCAAGCAGTTACTTTCTGTGCAGTGTAAAAGAGGCACACTGAAAAACGATGGGTACGTCGCTGTTTACTTTGAGAGGTTCGGTAATTTACAGGCAATGGAGGACTTCTAATTCCATTTACAACTTCCACTCGAACATGCATTTCTGTCCCATTTCCCCCTGGCTATGCCACTACTGATTAGATGTGACATTCCAGCAAACTGGACGTAATCCGTAATTTCAGGATGGACGTTGGTTTCCAGCAACATCTGTGGCACTGTAAGTCTCCAAATCATTTATATATAGTTTGACCCTGTTTGTTAAAATATTTAAACTTGGCTGTGTGTGATTTATTGCAGTGCAACACATCATTGCTTGTCTTTGTTCTGGTGTTGTTATGGAGCAGAAGTGATTTAGAGGCGCTGCAAACCTGCGCTAAGTAATAATGCATGACTTGGTGTTCTACGTGTGGGATTCTGTCTGTTCTGAACCGAAGGAATAGGCTGTCAGTCACAAATGGCCACGGGTCCCTTTCAAGTTTAAATGACAAATTTCCAAATTACACTTTCATGGGAAATGATCTCCCATTAATACTGAGATGTTAAAAAAGGAGGAGGGATCTTTACCGTGGAGGACAGCGTAGTACTAAAAAGCCACAGCAGGTGGGAATTCTTTGTTCATCCTGTATGGGTGAGAAGGGCTGAGAAGTCTTCCAGTGCTTTGACAGCCTGCAAATTTACTATTGCATGTTAACAATCCCCAGCTATGTCAGGACTTCTTCATCCCGAACCGCCTGGAATTGTTTACAGAGCACATCTCTTCGGCTGGTGTCTCAGCAAGCCTTATTCTAAGCACAGGGTGTTTCCTTTGGGTTAATGACCAGCGGGTGGAGCTGAAGGCTCTGGGCATTAACCCTAGAAACACCCCTCAAAAAAATAGCACGGACTGGGTGTGTTGGTAGTGTAAAGGGAAAGGACAAAATGGAAAGGGGTGAAATGGCTGCAGACGAGGTGGAGAAACTTTCACAGAAAACAACTACTTTGCCTGCTGGCAAACAAAATGGCTTACATTGCTTCCCAAATTTCCATTTAGCTCACAATTAAATGCTATGTACTGTATTTCTCTAAATTTTGTATTGACTGCGGATAGTAGGAGCAAACTCAGACTGTATTCCTGACTGTCGTATGGTCAGCATATGCACACTGGATACAGCAATGGACATTTCATGTTCAGATTTGAGTCAGTACCTCATGCCTGAAGGCAAAAAAGAAAAAAGACCCAAAGTGAAGATGTTACTCCCTGTGCCTGGTGGTAAACATCCTGTACATCCAGCGTGCCGTAGGCTTACACCTGCTCGTTTGGTCAGCCAGCATCATTTCCTGGTAAAGCCTGTGAGAAGAGCCTCAAGGAATGCTCAGAGCACTGCTGTGGGTGTGAGCGTATCTCAGAGCAAAGCCGCTCAGCCCCAAACGGCGCTGGAGCCGCACGGTGCTCACCTCATCCTGCAGCCACACGGGGACACAGCGCTGAGCTCCGCACTCAGCACCTCCCTGTGATGGATTAACTCTGCACACTTCGGTGCTCCTTGGAGGCTTCGCGTGGGTATGAAAGGCTATCCTGAGAGCCGCGCATCTTCCACCCAGCATTTCCATTGTTAGAAACACTGCGTTTACCGTGACATCTTTGTCAGAATCCCCAAAGCCTCACTTGCAGAATTTCTGCACTTTCTCACCACCAACACACACCGTCAGCCACCGGCGCTCCAAGGATAAAGCAGAGCCAAAAGAGGGACTGCTATGCTGGAACCGCATCTGTGATACATAAGTTGCGTGCGGGTATTTGCCTGAATATCTGCACACACATCTGCAGCTCCACACACAGACACCTCCCTCCTTTTTTTCTTTGAGACGCCGAGAGTTCAGTGCGCCTCGTGCCTGACGCTGGAAGTTGTGTTTGGAAACAGACTTCGGGCTCCATTTAATATTTATAGCCCGTTACTTTTTTAAACAGCGCCGGGGCCTGGGAAAATAAACACTTTAAAACGCGTTATAATAGGGGCTGGGAATGGCCGTACGTTCTAATTGCCGGCATAATTGTATTCCCACGGCGGGCAGCGCTGCCTTTACGTGGAGAAATCAAAGCGAATGCATTACAGCGCGCTCTCCTTTACCGGTCCCGGTTTATCTGCCGCGATGATATTTACGGCAGACATTTTTTAATTTAATTAATTGCCGCCGATGTCCTCATTATCCCGCTTTCACAGCGTTTCTGAGGAGCCATAAACAAAAGGTTAAGCGCCGTGTCGGACCCAGCTGCCGCCGCGGGCAGAGGTGAGCGAGCGAACGGCCCCTCCCGGCCCCGCGCTGCCCGGGACGCGGCCGCTGCCCGACGGCACTTCGGGGCGCGGCGCCGAGAGCGGCGTTGCCTGGACCCACGAGTGCGCGCCGAGGGAGCACGGAGCGGCCCCGGGGACGGCGGTACCGCCACAGCCCCGCCGAGCGCGGCGGCAGCGCCTCTCCTAATTAAAACGGATTGTTCCGCCGTCTTTCGCGCGGCGGCATCGCAAGATCTTTAATTATTTGTGAACGTCGCCATCCCCCCGCGGGGAACGGCGGCGAGCCGGGGCCGCGACGGTGTTTCTTATGGGTGTTCGGCACAAAGCCGCCGTCCGCCGGCGCTGACCCGCTCCGAGGCGGGACCCGTGGCCGCCGAGACCGCGGGGCTGCCCGCTCCCTGCAGGGCGCCCGGACCCGGGCTCTCCCCGCTCTTCGGGGCTCCCCGTCCCCTCCCGGCTCCCGCTCCTCTCGGGGCTCCCAGATCGCGGCTCCCCGTCCCGTCGCGGCTCCGTTCCCGCAGGTTTGCCCCCCCCGCCCCGGCCCACCTGGTTGTTCTTGCAGAGGTCGGCCCACATGCTGGTGCCGTCGCCGCCCCGCATGAGCACATGGTAGGTGAAGAAGTAGATGCCGGGGATGGAGCAGGTGAACTTGCCGGTGGTGGGGTCGTAGTGGTTGCCTAGGTTGGTGACCACGTCGTCGAACTTGAGCACCTCGTAGCCCTCGTGCTGCCGCTTTAGGCCGGCGTAGAAGGCGATCTTGGGCACGGTGCTGTAGGTGGCGGCGCTGATGGCCCCCGCCGCGTTCAGCCCCGGCGCCCCGGGCGGCCCCGGCAGCCCCTGCCGTCCCGGCTCGCCCTTCTCGCCCGGCGGCCCCACCGGCCCGGGCGGTCCCGGCTCCCCCGGCGGCCCGCGGGGCCCCGCTTTGCCCGGCCGGCCGGCGTCCCCCTTGGGCCCCTGGATGAAGGTGGGCAGGGACTGCATGAGGCCGCGGTCGGGCGTGGCCGCCGTGCTGGGCGCCTTGGTGCCGCCGTAGGGGTCGCAGACCATGCGGCAGGTGCCCAGCATCTCGTAGTGCGCCGAGGTGCCGGCCGAGCTCACCAGCACCGGGATGAGGACGACGAGCAGCAGCACCATCACCACTCCCAGCGCTCCGGCCGCGATCAGCCGCCGCCTGCTGCCCACCAGCCGGCTCAGCGCAGGGCGATCCTCCTGCCTGCTTTTGGACAGAATCTTGATGGCTGTGCGGGGACCTCCTCAGAGCCGAAAAAACGCCGAGCCCGAGCGAGCCCGGCTCCCGGGGCTTTGGCCCTCCCGCTGCCGGCGGGTCCGGCGCTGCTCTGCGGCCGCCGCGGGCGGGTGTGGAGGGAGCGGCGCCGCCGCCCCGACCGCCGCACTTTTATGCTCCCGCCGGCGATCGACTTTTTTTTTTTGCACACCGTGCCAGTCCGAGTCAACTTTCCCTGCAACTTGCCTTTCCTCTCGCGATCGCCCCGCTCTCTCTCTCTCTCTCTCTCGCTCGCTGTTTTTTTTTTTTTTTTTTTTTCCCCGCAGAGGTGACGGCGCTCAGCGGGGACGCGCTGCCCGCTGCCCGACGCCGCTCAGAGCCCGCGGTGCCGCCGGAGCCGGAGGGAGAGCGGGATCCCGCCCGGTGCCACCTGCCAGCAGAGGAGGAGGCTGCTGAGCGCGCTGGAGCAATTTATAGGCACCCAAAAGCGCAGGGGAAAGGGGAGCTGCTTTGGCATCTCATTCCAGCATCTGCTCCGCTCTTCCCACTCACAGGGAGTTTGGCATTACTCTGGCAGTGTGGGAAATATATATTTTTTTCCTGTCTCCCCCCCGTAGCCCTCCCCACGTCTCCCCCCCCCCCTCCTCACCCCCCCGCAGGCGGATGAACAGCAAAATCGTGCGCCTCGCTCAGTGCTGCGCCGCGCGGTGACGGCTCCTCCGGAGCGCAGCGAGAGGCAGAGTTGTGCCCGGCCTTTGGGCACCCCCGGGATCACTGGCGGCGAACTGGAAGGTCACCCCACCTCCCGCCCGGTGCTGCCCCGGGGCCGCCCCGCCGCGCCTCTGTTTGCTGCGAAATAGCGCTTTAATTGTAGGGGTGCCGTGCGGTTCCCGATTGCTCAGGTGGAAGTTCTCTGGCCGCTCAGCACCGGCACGGAGATCAGCACCTCTCACAGCCCCGGAGCTCCCTCTTTACCTCTCCCCAGTTACGGCCATAAGTGCAGAGAGGGAAACATTCCTTTCCCTGAATTAAAACCGATGTTCTCATCGCCGGTGCTAAAAGCAGCCACCCCTCTGCTGTCGGTGACACAGAGGAACACGGTTCCCTAGTGCTCAAAAACCCAAGGAAAGCGCGGGGCATACACGGACCAGCAGATGCCCAGAGCTGTGACGAAGCTCTCTGCCTTACCTCGAGGGTAGCAAAGCGTTTTGTTCAGTATTTTTGTTTTGTTTTTGCTAAAGGTTTCTCCTCCCTCAAGGGTTGGTGTGCACCTCTGTGCCACGGTAAGAAGGTGAATGTGCAATCTTGGTGGCATTTCTCCCAAGGAAATATTAAGCAACTCGTCTTGCTCACAGATACACAAAGTACACAAAGAGCTGCTTAAATAAACAAACAGAATTGATTCCTAAATCATACTTCTGTATTCAGGAGCAATGGACGTCAATCAAACGTGGGTGACATTTGCCTGTCAATACAGGGATGATGGCTGGAAAGAGTGTGACTTATTACGGCAAGGCAAGAATCTGAAATGAGCGGCGGCAGCAAGTAGGACAACAACCAAATAACAGCATCTCCAGCGATGATCAGAGGGCTGTGATCTTGTCTCGGGTTTTATTAGCACGAATCCCCTCTCCCTTTCCCCCCGCACTCTTTTCTTTCTTTTCTGTTTCACAACACAATAAGGTCAAACAAGCAGGCAGTGGGAAACAAAGATTCATTGATTCTTCCTTTTAAGCAGAAATGTCAGCGGCTCCTTTTGCTCTTTCCTGGGAGACTCAAAGGCAGTGAGTGTGTCCATGCCACGCAGAGACGGGCCCTCCCAGCTCCTTATCTCCCCAGAAAACTCCCGATAAAGCCTCCATTTCACACACTTTTAAATACCCCACTCCCCCTTTCTTTTTCTCTATTTTTTTTTAACGCTTCATCTTTCAGTGATTCTTTATCTGGCTCTGGCACAAGCGAGCCATTTCCCTCAGCAAAGGGCTCCCACTCAGGGCCCGGGAAGGCAGCGGAACACATCAGGAGGATTATTGTTCTATCTCATCGCTCTCCCTGCCCCACAGGAAAAGGCTTTCAACACCGCTCTTTAGTCTGTGCAAGAAGAAAAGTTGTGTAGAGTGACAGCTCTGCCTCAGACTGCGGATGGTCCTCGGGGTGTTGCATTCCGTCATCTGTGGCCCAGCAGGATTTCGTGGCACCAGGATGTATCCATGCCTCCATTGCACCTTACACTCAAGGAGCACTCTTGAGCCTTCAGATGGACACCAACCCATCGTGTTCTGCCAAGCCACAGTGACCTGGTGACAGGTCAGCAGCAGTGTGCCACATGTGCTCAGTTCCACGCTCTTGCTCTGGAGTGCTGGATCTTAAAGCAAGTTCCTACCAACCTACCGTGTTTATCTCCTTAATACTCAGATTTATCTTCATGTGTATCGTCAGCCATCTCTGAAGCTCATTTACTCCTGCAGACTTTCTCTCCAAGAAGGTCTGAGCCAGCCACAACATCACAGCCTGAGCAAGCAGAGGTGAGCAGAGGGTGCTCGTGCTGAGTTGTCCATGAAGACCGTGTGCTGGCTGGGAACGCTGCCTGGGACCACGAGCTCTACACCAGTGCTTCAGGAACCTGGTCATCCTTGGTAAAAACATGCTTTCCAAGGAAACTGAAAGTGGAAAATCAAAGGGCTGAGAAGCTACGCACTGAAGGGCTCAGTACTTTGGTACAAGGAAAATGCAGAATCCTCTTTTTGTAATGGGACATTTGTTGCCCTGGAGTGACTTGTCAAAGCATCGATTCACTCAGTTACAGCCACTTCTATTAGAATATTATCTCTTCTCCACACAAAAGGCTAAAAATGAAGATGGACGTCTATTCCTAACAAAACTATTACACCAAGGTCAGCTGCTGCTTGTCCTAATGCAGTGACCATTACTACATTTCTTTGTCCTTTCCCTTTACCTCCCCTTCCTTTGGGGCTGCCCTGTGAGCTGCATCCCCTGCAGCTTCTGCCATTTGAAGCAGCCTGCCCACAGCTCCTTCCCTCACTGACTAATTAGCTAATATTCACACAGAGCCTTAAAGACATGAGGCATAACATGCATGTTAATTTTTCTTGTGCATCTGAAAGAGGGGGGGTACTGTTGTCTCACCACTGGGATAGGGAAAAATGGGAGAAAACCAAACATCTTGTCAAGGAAAGGCGCTCTGCAGTCCCCAGGCACAACATGACTCCTTCAGCCCGAGGTGCTCAGTCCAAAGGGTGAGCCTGGAGAAAACAGCACGTGGGAAGGGCAACCCCTCAGTACTACAGCGAGCAGCAGTAATGCAGAGAAGGGAGTGCTCCAAAACCATGCCAAATTCCAGCCGTCCTGCTCACTCCTATCTGCATCAGCTTTGCTTTTGCTTATACTTTAACTCATTGAAAAAAATCTTTCAGAGGAGCGTTTTGAATTCCAGTCATCCCAAAAATTAAGGCATTGCTATACTGCATCTTCAGAAATATGGGTTGGACCATGTATGTAAGTGTTGGTGTTTCAGCCAGGCACCAGTGGCTGAATTCTGCTGTAGTCAAAGAGCACCAAGCACTCAGCGACAAGCACTCACCCCAGCAGGTAACTGGCTTCAGTGCTACAGAACAAAGTCAAGTTACAAATGGAGGGGAAATAATCATATAGATATAGATGGCTCAAAGGCACCACGATGAGCAGTGAAAATGCTGCTGCTACCCTAAGCCACTTCCAGTACTGTTTCAGTTCTGTTCACCCACCTCACTCTATTTCATACCATGGGTCTCAGAGAGGCTCCTGCTTTGCTTTCTGGTGGAGGAGTGTGCAGGTAGCAGCAGTTGAGCTCTCCCACAGCTCTGTTTCCATCAGTAGTGAAGAACATTTGTATTTATAATGATGTAAGTTGCCCACTGGCTTCTTTTTTAAAATTAAGGTTTTCGTACTCATCGAAGGAAATTCAGCTTCTGTGCAACAAAAAAAAGATGTTTTGTTGATGTTTTGGAAGTTTTACCTGTCTTTTGAAATTGAAGAAGTCCTTCAGCAAGATATTCTCTGCTATTCAAGGATCTAAACCTTTGTGTGTGTGACTGAAAGTAGTCCAGATTAATTATGTTTGTTGTTGTTTTTTTTCCCCCCATAATTAATAACATCCTTCAATAGCTCCATGAAGATCAGTCTCTGACCCTCCAATCAAAGAGGAGAATGATTCAAAGTACAATTCAAAGAATCATTTTGGCCTTGCAAGGGTTACAACCACTCTTCAAAGTCAAATGAGGGGAGAATTCAGGGGGGACTGCCACTGAAGTGACAGCTCAACAAGGAGAGTTCGCAAATAAATTCCACATCTCTTTTCCTTTTTAGTTTTTAATCTGAAAAGATCAAGCATGACTAGTTAATGGGGGGGGAGGGGAATTAAAATGAAAAGATCAGTACCCAGATTATGTTCTGACAGGTGAATCACTGCAGATTGTGTATGTAAAAATAAGTCTTCAACACAGCAAAACTAAAAATTATACATCTAACTGACCAATTTTATGGCTATAAAATAGTCTCAGATGATACTTGGTAATTGTTAACCTACTTAACAGTAACTGAGCATAAAAGGTATTCATGATTGCAAGAGCCCTTGTTTATTCCAGAGATTAGCCATCAGCTGCAAACATGAAAGCTGCTCCTGCACATTTCTCCTCTCCTTGCACACATGCCTGCAAGCCTGCCTCTGCCTTTGTCTTCCATCCCCTTCCTCCCCTCCCCATCCCCAAAGGCGCCAAACACAAAGCCGTTGCAATGCACATGGGATGTACTTTGAACTCGAAGATACTTTTTGGTAGCATTACTGATACAGCTTTTCCAGTACCAGTGGTCCTTGAGCAGCTGATAGTTGTTGTGTTGGCGACAGTATGCA